GCAGTTGCCTTTTCGTTTCTAAAGAGAACCTGCCTGGGAAACAATTTTTCTCCCTAATGTGGAATTCCATCCCCTTCCCCAATATTATACCGGACCAAAGCACATAATTTAGTCCTGGAACAGTTATGTGGCCTAGAGTTCATGAGACGTTCTAGGACTAGAAATGAGAATTTTAAATGGCTGAAAAGAAGAGAATCCCAGTTTTGTACTTGTATATATGGTGTATTCTTTGCCGCTGGAAAGTCACAAGGTATCCTACTTTTAAAGAACCACACATTTTTAGATACAGAAAAGCTATTTTAAGTCACTGTAGGGATATTTAAAAAATGCGTTTACTATTTGTTTCCACTTCTTCAGGATGGAATTACGATCTGAAGAGAGCCTCATTTTATAGGTGTAAAATGTGAAAAACAGGCCCAATTATTTTTTAAAATCTTTCTATATTTTTCCCCCCTCTGCAAAATGCATGGCACAATTAGACTACCTGACCATGCAGTTTAGGTTTTACTGGTATTCCCCGGGGAATACTGGCAGCGTTGCCACTTGTGAGCAATACAGCCATCCCAAATGCATACTGATAAAGCCACTACATCACATTTCCTTATTATGCAGTCTCTATAGATTTGTATCTGGAAGCCACAACTTATTATAGAGAGAGCACAATAAGTGCACACAGCCTTATAATAGGCTGTGCTAAACTAAGATCAGAGGCACAAAATCTCAGCCACACCAAGTGAGTAGAAGGAGGAAAAATGAAAAGGAACCAAATGCAGCTCTACAGTCCTAAGTCTGATTTTTCTACCAGCTGGCTCCCCAGTGAAGTTTCATGTAGCCTGAGGACTGCTCTATACTATGATGGTCCTTTGGAGCCACTGAAACTGCTGTGGGTTGCTGGAGCACACTGGAGTGCTGGTCAAACTCTAACATACTTTCTACATGCATGAGGCAAAGCGAGGCTTCATGCATGGTGGAGACAGGTATTCCCAGTTACAGTTCATCTGGCTGCTTCTTTGTGCCAGGGGCATCCTCAGTTGGGCACATTTGCTGGCACAAAGAGACTTAAGTGTGGGAGAGAATTTAGCCCAGGATCCCTTTGGAAACAAAGGGCAGATGACATAAAGGCCACCAACAATGGTGTGTAACCACTGTAATTGTAACCCCCTGCAGAACAAAGAGATTCTCTTACAATCGCTTAATTTCCCATGTGTTCCATGGTAAATATGAATTTGCTTATAAGGATGTACAGTGTCTAGACTTCATAGATTTCATAGACATTAGGGATGGAAGGGACCTCGTAAGATCATTGGGTCCAGCCCCCTGCCAAAGGGGCAGGAAGTCAGCTAGGGGCAAAGGATCCAAGCAAGATAAACATCCAAATGTTTCTTGAAAGTGTCCAGAGTAGCTGCTTGCACCACCTCTGGGGGGAGTTTGTTTCAAGCCTTGGGGGCTCAGACGGTAAAGAAGTTTTTCCTTATGTCCAATCTAGAATGGTTTTGTAACTGTTGGACCTTGTCATCCCCTGGGGTGCTCTGGTGAACAGTTGTTCCCCCAGATCCTGATGCCACACCCATTATGTACTTATAGGCTGCCACCACGTCACTCCTGAGCCTGTGCCTCTCTAGGCTGAAGAGTCCCATAACTTGCAGCCTCTCTTCATAAGGCCTGTTCTCTTGCCCTCTGATCATGTGCATGGCTCTCCTCTACTCTCTTGCAAACTTCTCCATGTCCTTCCTAAATTGTGAAGCCCAGAATGGGATGCAGAACTCCAGCTGCAGCCTCACCAAGGCTGAGTGCAGCGGGAGGATGACATCCTGGGTCTTGCTCAAGATGCATTGGTAGATGCAAGCCAGAGTTTTGTTTGCTGGAAAATCAGGAAGCACTTTCAATAACATTTTGCAGTTTATAAGGAATAATGAAACTGTTGTTTGTTTGCAATCATTAAAGGAGAGAAATTACTCCCATTATGAATCCAGGTCATAGAATTCCAGAGCTTAGGTGATGTTCAGAGGTAGTGACACAGATAGCCATGTTTATCCTGCTTCCCTGCCGAGCCCAGAAAGGACACCAAGAAATAACCCTACTTATTCCAGATCTACATAATCTCTAGCCTTTCAGGGTAGATGGTTTAGAGAGGTTCTGAGCACATATGCATCACACCAACTCTTGGTTTTTCTCAGACATATGTTTTTACCCTCGGCAAATCTCAGCACGCACCTCAGATCACTACCTCCAAATGTAAAGGAGGGCCCTGGAGTCTGGTGGTCAATGTTTAAAAGGAATAACTTTTATTCTTTAAAACACTGCCAGAGACAGAGAGCATAAGTGGCAATGGATCTCGTACTCTGAACCTCTCTAGGTCATCTACTTGGCCTAACTGTTAAACTTGAGCATACATGGAGCTCGAGTTAATGGGTGAGGCTTGTTTCTTGAAGCTAGTCCAGGGCTCAGGAGCAAAGTGGTATAGGCCTGTCATATCTCCTCCACTTAGAACATGAGTGTCACATGGGGAGATAACCCTGAGAAAATGCAAAAGCCCTTTAAAAAAGGCCTAGGAGGTTTACCAGGCACTCTGATCATCTCATCACACCAGATGGACTCGGTTGTTTTTGGATTTGTACTTCTGGACCTTCTACTCTACAAAACACAAGTCTCCCTCTAACATCTTAAGGCAGCAGTTTTACTGGCTCCCCTTGTACTGGTAAGAACTGCCACATACATGAACCAATCTAACACAGGAAGGAATGATAGCACAACCCCAGCCAGTTACACAGTAATTACTTGGTCCAAACTCCAAAACTACAATTTACAAAAAATAAAGAGGCTGTAATAGGATTTACCTTTTCCTCCATGACTGGCGATGACTGCAGTGACAAACAAAACAGCCAAAACAGAGTGGCAACCGCACAAGAAGCAAGACAGAAAAACAAGCATTAGAGAGCAAAGGTCATGCAAGCACATATATGTGTATGTGCTCTTACAAATACACACCTGAGCTGAGAAAGAAATACTTGCGCCCTGCTTCACAAACATGCAACTGGCTCTACAGCAGAGCCACTGTATGCATGCACTCACCACTGCAACATGTGGAAGCACACACCCCACTCTCTTGTATACATACAAACAAATGCCTTTGTGCTTACACAAACAGCTATCACAGTGACAAGCAAACACACCAAAGGTACCTATAGGTTCACAGAATTATGCATCTATGTAATGTACTAACACACCTAAACACACCGAAGTAGGGAAGCACATACATATACTCACAAAAACAAGCATGAATGCAATGAAAGAGTATAAACCTTGTCCCACAAATGTACACTAGTGCAGCAAAGCACACAAAATGTATGTGCTCATTCATACACACTTGTGTAGTAACACAAAAACACAAACCCAGCATATGCTTATACAAATGTGGAGCTGTGAAGCTACACACAGTGTACAATCAAAGCTTAAAATGAAGGAAAAAGCCCCTGATTCAGTTAGCTGGTCTTACAGATTCAAAGATGAGCCAAGGGCTTTGACAAAGACTAGTGGTATATGGGTCTCTCTTTTTTCCCCTCCCAAGAAGCTAGCAGTACAGTTGTGCTCTGAGGCACAGATGGAGGACTGCCACTTCTGCACTGCAAAGTAAGCAACTCATGTTGACAGGTTTGAGCCTCACCTCACCAACTGGTCACCTTGTCATGATAATGACTTCCATCATGCATCCCTTTCCCTCATGAGAGCACAGTGCCACAACTAACTAAGGTTTGTTGAAAATTTGGCAAGGGGAGATCCGAGTTATGTCAATTCAGCCTGCATCATGCAAGTATACTTGCACCACCCTCTATTTAACTGTGGCAGATGATAATAGCAAAACCTATGGTTCAGAACACAGAGGGCCTGATTCTGCTTTTATATCAGTGGCTCTACATTTTTCAGTTCGTGGAGTTACTTCTGTTTACACTAGCATACATGAGGAGAGTATCAAAAGCCTAACGGTGTTTAAGCTCTAATAGTAACATAGGTCTGACTGGGTTATAAAAGTAAAACACAAGTTTCCACGATGCAGGAAAAAGAGAGGAAAAACAGTCTAATATAAAAGAGGAGGAGAACTATTTGCTGTTTTAACTCTGCATTGATCTGGTTCTGTTCCAAAATCCACTGAATTCAATAAAAATCACTCCATTAATTTCAATGGACTTTGGACTGAACTACAGTAAAAATATATTCTTGCAGGTTTTCAGTAGGCATGGGCATTATAAAACTTGAGGTGGTGGGAAAGAGCCCCTCTCTCCTTTGCTCTACAACATAAAATCTATCAAGGGTTGCTATAAGAACCTCCTTCAAGGGGAAAGGAGTATTGTGTTTGTAATTTTATATAAATATATTTTATCTTGCATTTTAAACCCATCCTATCTGTTTTATTTGTCTGTGTTCTTATGTTGCCATAGCTCCAGGATTTCCAAACAGATTCTGATTAACATTTGAGATTATTCATTTGATACTGCATTTTGACTACTGAAAGTCCCAGGAAATAGCCAGAAGGATAACCAGATAATATAACAAAGCATTCTGGGATCCTTCCTATTCTACTAAAGCAGAGTCTGCCACAGGAGCATTTTAAAGGTTTACAGCAAGTGGAATCCAGAAGTAATCTACTGTACCAGCTAATCCAGGGGTGGCTAAACTGTGGCAAAGGTGACACAAGTGGCATGGGCAGCCTCTGTGTATGGCACACAGCAGATCAGAGAAGGGATAAGCAGCACAGCAGCAGATAGGTCAAGAAGTAGAAAGCAGAGCTGAGGATTAGGCAGGGAGCCCAGGGCTGGGAACAGAAAGCAGAGAAGCAGACTGGGCAGGAGAAGAGGATTGGAGTTGTACTTGGGAAGAGTATAGGGCTTTTTGTGGCACATCTGCCAAAAAGGTTGGCCTCCATAATCCATTTAAAGTGCCTTATGGCTTTTTGAGAGTCTCCTATAGTAGAAAGCTTATACTACGCATCACATCTTGAGGAGTATTTTATTCTCAACATACAAAGGGTTAATTACCCCATCTGCTTTAAAACAACTTTGGATTCTCTCTTGTTATTTATATTTTGTGGGAGCTGGGGTGGCACCAGCACTAAGGTGCCTAGTTGATAGCCCAGAGGTCACAAGTTTAAGGTCATAGCAGAAGTGCTCACAGTACAGCCTTTCAGATTCCAACAAATCTTGCAAATTCTGCTCAATAAATACCTCATCACAAGGACATGAAAAAGGAAAGGATTTATATTTTGTAGCACCCTTTCAGCAGTCTTATACATTAGAATATAGAAGTTATATTACATACTCCAGCATGTGGGACGGGGCTCTCCCTCAGGTATCAATGTCTTCCAGCTGTAACTTATTCCTGTACTCTAATGGTAGCTAAAAAAGCAAGAGTGGGAAACAAACACTGGTTTATGATTCAGATACATAACAACTGTCTGACAGTGGGAGGTGAGAGCCACAGAAAACTAAAAGATCAATTCTGACATCACTAAATCCTTGGAATTTCAGTCCAAAAGCCAAGAGAAGGGCTGGTTCAGAAGCAGTTGAAAATCTGCTCAGCCAAATTCCATGCAGTCTGGAAGATCAAGCTTGGACCAGAATTTTAAAGCTGAGTTAGCACATTGGGA